AAAAAAAAAAAAAAGAATCTAAAAATAGTTTTACTAAAATACTAGAAAAATTTTTACTGGAGCATAATGTTCTAAGAGTTAGGTACCAATTCTGACTGTCATGTAAAAATCAGGGTTATTCTCAACTATGGATTGCATAAAGCAAAGGCCATAAAGAAACAGAAGATGGCAACGTATCAGTATTCTCAACAATGCCAAAAGCATGTGAAGAGATCCTGAGCACTGACAACAAAATCACTTTTGAGAGGATCTTCTCTCCCAAGCCATTCTAACTCTTCTGCCTCTAATTCTCAAAGGTTATAAATTTTCCAACCAAGTGTTTTTAAAACGGAGAAATAACGATAACATCATTCTAAAAAATTCTACCTTATACCAAATGAGAGCTCACTAGGGCTCAGAAACCTACCAAAGACACTGATAGTCCATTAAAATTTCCTCCCCTGGTCAAAAGACAAGATATTTCCATCTAGTGAGAAGACCCCTCCCTGTTGTTAATGATGCCAATAAATATACTTGAACAATCTAATTCTCCTTGTTCTCAATCAGACTTACTAAACGATCTTATTTTGATTTGCTTCTATGTAACGTTTCTCATTAAAAAATAATGGTCAACCATGCCAGTCTGAAATGATCCTCTTTCTCAATGTATATATTAATAAGTTGGTATTTTAGTTTTATTTACTTCTAACCTTGATCCTTTGGCCATTAAAAAATGTTCCTAGGCGTGCCTGAGTGGTTCAGTTGGTTAAGCATTCAACTTCAGCTCAGGTCATGATTTCACAGTTTATGAGTTTGATCCCCGCATCAGGCTCTCTGTTGTCAGCACAGAGCCTACTTCGGATCTTCTGTCCTCCTCTCTCTCTCTGCCCTTCCCCCACTGGTTCTCTCAATCTCTTGCTCTCAAAATAAATAAACTAAAAAGAAAAAATAAAGAAAACAGAGGAAGGCAAATGGTGTCCCTTAAAAAAAAAATGTTCCTAATGAATACTAATTCCATAGACAGAGCAAGAAGAGGCATTTCCAAAATAATCAAGACTCCAAATGTTATTTTTAGCTTCTCAAACTTCTTTTCAAAATCCCGTAATTATTCTAGAAAAGTACAATCCATTCGTGAGTAGCTTATCTAAATGATTTTTAAGGACTGCACATTAGAGAAATATCTTCGAAATTTGACACACTTTAAGATATTTAGAAGGAAAATTATGTTGGCCTTTAAAAATTCAATTCCAAAAAATAAAAAATAAAAATAAAAATTCAGTACCAAAGGGTTTATTTTAAAAACCCAGGGAATATATATATGTGGGCTCATGTATTGTACTGCTGAGATGTTATTTGTAATGCCATCATTCTGTGTACCACTAAGAGAAAAAAATACTGTCAATTAAACTAAGACACAATAGCTTATCAAAATTTTTATTTTCTACTTATAAGAAAAGTTACTTTACACCTAACCACAGATTTTATCATCTAGCTTGCTCTGTGCCTTTGTGCCCATAGTGACTGTTCCATAATAAATCATAGGCTTTTGAAGACATTTTAAACAGCAACTAAACTCAAAAACATGTTACATCAACGATGCACGCAACTGATGTAACGACCATGTGAACAGCCCCAATCAGAGGATGCACACACGCAGGCGATGATTACCATCACCACTGTTGCCTGCCTGACAGCAACCATGAGGTACCATGAGCTCTGAGAAAACATCTCGGCTTCAGAGACATCAAAAAGTAAAAAATGTGCATCTAAGAAACAGTGAAATACAGTTGATCTGTAATTCTTTATCCAATGCAGCTATGAGGCTATCATAATAAATTTTAGCTTTTACATCAATACAATTTACATGGGTCCCTTCAATAATCAAAATCTTATAATTAGATAATACAAAAGTAAGAAAATTAATGTTCAGTCATTTAAGAACTGCTAGAAATGAAAAAAGAAATCAAACTGCTTTGTTATCTGCAAATGAAAAATTGGCTTTCTTACCTGAATAATGATAAGGAGACAGATGCCAGCACCCATTTCAGCAGGGTCCCCATACATGCCCGTCATGACATACACAATGGCTTGCCCAATGGTAATGATCATACCAAATACTGATGAAAATTGGGGGGAAAGGAGTACATGCTTACAACCAAAGACAAAAAAAGACTAGAAAAATATCTTTACCACAAAATTCTCAAATTTGGTAAAGACTCTAATTGCATTAATAGCTCACGTTTCTGGGCTCCATTGAACAGAGCTCTGTCTTTGGGTGTGTCTCCAACTTCAATGATTTTGGCTCCAGCCAGCAGCTGCATAATCAAACCAGATGTTACAATCGGGGAGATACCCAATTCCATTAAAGTTCCTGCAAAGGAGAAAGAAGGAAGCAAATAATCTTTACTATACTCAATGCAGATTAATTTAAAAGTGATGCAGTCCTTAATTATGTCTATTGAAATACACGCTCAAATGTTAACAAGCAGATTTTCATCCTTTAAACATTAACTGCCAAAAACAAAACAAAACAAAAAAAACTCTCATTTATTAACACAACCTTGCAACAATTGACTGAAATAAAATTACTATACCATAAAAATGTAAATTTCTGTAAAGTCTAAACTTAAAATGTGAAAGAAATCTTGGAAGATTTTTTTATTTTTTATTTTATTTATTTATTTATTTTTTAAACGTTTATTCATCTTTGAGAGACAGAGACAGACAGAACACGAGCAGGGAGGGGGCGGAGAGAGGGAGACACAGAATCCGAAGCAGGCTCCAGGCTCCGAGCTGTCAGCACAGAGCCCAACACGGGGCACGAACTCACAAACTATGAGATCAT